CTACGATAATGGTTACTGTCCGACGTGATATATACATGCAACTTCTTATGTAGCCTGCTGTCCCTGCGTGTTTTTTTGACTTTCCGACGAGTCCCTGCGTATTTGGTGATCTGCACTCGCGATTTACCACTCACAGCCCATTCAGCTCAGGCCATGGTTACTTCTCAATCCAACAGAGATGTCCCTTCATGAGTACCAGCACTCAGATCTTCTCAACAAGTGGCACTACCTTCACTGCCAATGGTACATTTTGGTTCAACTGATATTGACACGGCATACTGATTTGCTGTTGACGTTTTATCGAACCACCGGCTGTCTTCAACCGCCCCTGCATCCTGACTCATTCCAGCCACAGCCGCCCACGTTTTTTTGCAACCCTACCTTGGTACATATCTCCCTTACTAAATTTAACTATTCTTCCTCCATTAGATTTCTTTCATCAATCGAATTTCGGTCTCGGAAGGGGGCAGTTGTAGTGAGTAGCTCGCGTCGAAGTGAACTTTCCCGAAGACACACAGAAGCTGGTCACGACTTCTGGGAACAGCCAATCACAGTTGCCGTAAAGTTGCTTTCTGGCCCGGCGACGAATGGCAAGCCTGCAATCGTGAATAATTTCTCTGTCCACAGGCCTGACTGCTCTCAAATTGGCATTTGGACCCGGCTGGCCATCCTGGCTGGTCATGTGCTCCCAATTCAAACTTTTTCCATCTATTCTTCGTTCTTCTGTGTACACAATAAACTATTCCTAACACTTCCCAAGACTTTTTTCTCTGCTAAGTAACTATGATCCGAAGATCGCAGTTGCTAGGGTTTAACTTACCAAACCCCCGGCGATAAAACGGAAACTTGAAAGGAAACAGCCAGAAAATTATCAGTTTTCGCAAAATCTTAATGTATATATTCTGCCCCTCTGTTGTGCATTTTCAATCGTAGAATCGGGACTAAATGTAAATAAGTATACTGAAAACTGCTTTAGTATACGCAGAAAAGTAACTTCTTTCATTTTTAGCAATGTATACTTCATTCTCAGGTAAATCAAAAACTGGTCATACTTTCCCACTTTCCTCTCAACATTCAAAAAAGGTAAAGAAAGCAGACATCTGACATCGAAATAAAAGCGCTTTTTCACGAAAGATTTTTAATTGATTTAAAGCATATTTATTTGTGACATGTTGTGGACGTTCAATTTTCAAGGCAATGAGTTGACATGTTTAGGTGACCCTAAAACCATGATCCAAATAGACGGCTGCATAAGAAAGAATGTTCAAAATTCGCTATTTAGGTAAATGCTTTCAACAAATATCTTATTTTTGAAGTTTTGGTAAACACTTAGAACAGAATGTATTTATGGCAAGCTACTGAAACACCGAGAA